TTTTCATCTTACCATTAAAATACTTTTATGCATCAGAAAATTTTGAAATTTCACAAGAAAAATATTTATGATATCCAAATAGTTATCAAACATATCATTTCAGTAATTAATTTCTGTAAATTTTACCAGTCTCGCAACCACCATAAAAATTAGAAAATAAACATAAATTATGAATCTTTCATTCTAGAATGAATACAAATTATAACACGAAAACATAAATGTTTAGACAAAATAGCTTAAATTCTATAACATTATACATTTATATATTTTTATTATATTGACCTTTCACCCGTGCCTGGCTAACAATACAGAAGTTACAATAACGCGGCACACGTGCACTCAGATTACCGTATTCAATAATATAAAACTGATCTTTAGTCTTTACAAAGTGACCTGTCTTGGGTGTGTTTTAGGGGACTAGTATATTGTAAAATACAGTCACATTTCAATTATTATCTACATACTACTAAAACTCAGAATGCTTGTTTGTGGGATTGCCTGTAATTAAATACAGCAAAAACGGCATATAATACAGACATATTTGTAATGAAATAAGAATAGAAATGAGAATAGAAAATGAATAAAACAAGTTTTATTAAAATCGGGCCACGAGTTACCGAGTTAGCCCCATTTCTCGGGTCACTTTTATGAAAATTTCTAGATGAATTCAGGTACACTAGATGGCGCCACATATCAGTTTATCTATCTATCTATTCGTTTTCCGCCTGATGAATCACTTTAAAATATTTTCTATACAACAATATATGCACAACAGAAATTAAATGATGAGATGAAAATGTGTTATAACAACACGTTGAAAGAACAACAATAAAATGGTCCTACAATATTACTGACTATTTGCAAATAGTAACTATGGGGACGAGGTAATAAAATAAAAATCAAGTCGAGAACAACAACAAAATTTTATAAACGAAAACTTCTCTCCGAGCATTGGCTATTATATTATTTCCCTGTCAGTGTTCCCATCTTTATAAGAAGGCATAAGATGACAAAAACAATATCTTAAAGAGTCTACCTATATACTACTAAAACTCTGAGATTGTTTGCTTATTTTCTCAGTCAAAAAATCATTCACACTACAATTTGCGCTCTTTACAAAACTTCTTACTTCACTTTTTTGAAAAATGAAATGGTCTTTCCTTTTATTCCTGATCAACAATCAAATGTCTTTTCTTGAATTATGAATAACACGAATTGATTGAAATATTTAATTAAATTATCTCAAAATAAACTTTTATTTCGGTGCAATATTGAAATTAGCTTGAATTCTTCATAACCTCTGAATAGAGGTTGACCCAACGAGTCACGGTTGTCTAGTTATTCTATAAATATACCGCGAATTCGTTTCATGAATGATCTTAATTTTGAATGGCTCACAAAGGAATTTACAGACACTTGACTGCCTCGACTGCAATTATCTGCCTCTTTGTTGGTCAAGCTTGATTTCGCAAAATTTATTTACTTCAGTCAGCTATGAAATGTGAGGTTAGGGTATACTATGGAGTAGGGGTGGTAGTAATTGCTTCGTCAATTTTGACGGGCTATGCACTAGTTAGAAATAAAGACCAACATTTCTAAAGCACAATTTCTAAGACATTTGTGCTCTGAAGACCGAGATCTCAAATGGTAAAGCTACTTAGGTGGTAGCAGCAAAGATGCCACACTGACGTCATAAAAAGTGCAAAAGCCATATTTACTTTATCGATTGACTCCATTAAATATATTGAAATTTCATTGAATAGAATTCTTAAACAAAAGTATAATTAAAACGATATGTAGAAATTTTGCTTTACTTACAAGGGATCCCACTACTCTTGAAATATTCAGTAAACTTGTTTTGCTTTCCTGTGGACACAGTGGAGCCTTAAGATCCACTTAGCTCACTCTAAGCTACAACAAAACAATAGGTTTCACATGACTAATGTAACTCATCCAAGAAGAGTATAAAATATACATAGAGAAACATTTAGCAGCTTTTCATACTTGTACAAACAGGGCATTTAAAATTTGTTCCGATTCCACTGATTTAAAAAATGAATTTAATTATATAAAAGTCATTGCTGATGATAGAGGTTATACTGTTGATTTAATTAAACTATGCACTCGATAAAACAATGTTTATGATAAAAAGAAGAAATAGTATAGTGATATTAACATATGTAAACGGTATAACTAATCAAGTTTCCAACGTGTTCAGAAAACATTTTTTTCCTATTTTTAAGGCATTTAATAAAATTAAAACAATACTTCCTAGCACTAACGATAAAAAAGATATTCTACAAAAAAAAGGAATATATCAAATTAGATGTGAATGTCAAAAAGATATATATTGGCCAGACTAAGCGTAATTTGAAATACCACATAAAATAACATAAATGTTATGTACGTAATAACAAAATGTTAATTTCTCCGCCGGCTGAACATGTTGCAGGAACAGGTCTCTCAATACAGTGGCATAAAACAATAATTTTAAATGAACCCAATACAGTAAATGAAATTAATATTAGAGAATCTATTGAAATTATGTGTTGTAAATTAAATAATCATTTGTTAAATAGAGATGAATGGTTGGCTAGTGATAGTCCTGAATTTTGGAAATATTGACCTCATGTGTGTAGCGTTCGTGTCACACCGGTGAATTATAGTGAGTCCGGCCATTCTTGTATAACAACCCGCTGTTCGTGTACATTTTTACTTCTGGTGATGGTAGTGGAAGCTGCAGTGATATGTAATCATTTTTAATTTTTATTGTGTAAAGTATACGTTGTTTTGTTTACACAGCGTGGCCACAAGTAAATAGACACCACCTTTCCA